ATATATATATATATATATATATATATATATATATATATATATATATATATATATATGTATATATATATATATATATACATATATATATAACCTGGTGCCCCGAATTAAAGAAAACATAACCTTTTCAAATACACAGAAACTATTTAAACGGATAGTCAATCCTGGGACAAAGTTCAAGCTAATGAGTGAATGGCAAGAGTTGGTTTTCATGTGCGCTACCTTCCTAACTACAATACAACTGAGTTAAAAATAACAAGAAGATACATTTGAAAAATCCATATAATTGTAAAGTTTTTAAATGTTTCTAATTAATTCAGGTCAAAGAAGAAATATACAGAAAAATTAGAAAACATTCAAGGAGTATTATATCAAGACTATATATCAAAAGACTATGTATGAAAAGACTATATATTTAAAATTTTATGATGTTTCTAAAGCATAATGAGTGGTCAACTCAACAATTTGGGAAACAGAATGGAATTAACTCATTATTCTTAGAAACATAAGAAAATTTTCTAAACTTGACAATGGGTATTTAGTAAAAACAAATTTTTTTAACTATGGTAAGAATCATTCTTAATGTTGAAACGTTTAAGTTTAATATTAGAAATGATAGAAGGAGACCCCTAGAATTGCTTGTATTTGACATTATTCTGGTAGTCTTAGCCAGTACACTAAGATAAGATAAACAAATAAAAGCATAAGGAAGGGAAAGAAATACAGTGTCATCATTTGCAGATAATATGATCTACTTAGAAAATCCAAAAACCCTACAAGTTATTAGAATTAATAAGAGTCCAACAAGGTTTCTCAATGTGAAATGTGCAAATAGTAATTGTATTTTCATATATTAGCAACAATTATTAAGTTAACCACATGTTAACTACAAATTACTTCATTATAGGAAAGACATAAAGTCTTACTAAAAGACCTAAATAAATGACAACTATATCACATTCACATATAGAAAGATTCAATACTGTCAAGATGCCAATTCTTTTTCAACTTATACAATTTCAAATCAATTTCATTCAACATTCCAAAAGGATTTTTCATGGAACATTACAGTTCAGTTCAGTTCAGTCACTCAGTCGTGTCCAACTCTTTGCGACCCCAGGAACCAGAGCACTCCAGGCCTCCCTATCCATCACCAACTCCCAGAGTTGACCCAGACTCATGTCCATTGAGTCGGTAATGCCATCCAACCATCTCATCCTCTGTCATCCCCTTCTCCTTCCGCCCTTGATCTTTCCCAGCATCAGGGTCTTTTCAAAAGTCAGCTCTTCAGAATATTACAAGGTGGCTCCAAAATGTTTATGGAAGAACTAAGATCCAAGGATGACCAAGACAACTTTGAATAAGAACAAAGTGGATCACTGGCCCCACTAGATATCAAGCCCATTCTAAAACCACAGTGGTTAATTGTGAATGTGGTCTTGGTGCAAGTACAGAGACACAGAATGACAGATTCATACACAAATGGCATCTTGATTCATAATAGACATGTCATTACATATTAGTAGGAACATAATGGATTATCTGGGCTTCCCCTGTGGCTCAGCGGTAAAGAATCCGCCTGCCAATGCAGGAGACACAGATTCAATCCCTGGGTGGGAAAGATCCCCTGGAGAAAGAAACGACAACCTACTTCAGTATTCTTGCCTGTGAAATCCCATGGATAGAGGAGCCTGGCAGGCTACAGTCCATGGGGTCGCAAAAAAGTCAGACAGGACTTAGTGACTAAACAAACAAACCAAAAAATGGACTATTTAACAAATGGTGCTGAGACAACTATTAGTCATGTAAGACAAGAATACAGCAGCCCCTCCTCATACCAAACACAAAAATAAATTCTAGGAAGTTTAAGTGAAATATGTAAAAAGCAAATCTTTACAACATCTAGATATTAGGATAGAAAAGAATTTTTTTCAGACCAGAAATCCAAAAGGGCAGTCAAAAAGTGAAATTTCAGTACATGTGCATGTTACATTTTAAAATTTATATACATTGAAAGACTACATAAGAATAAAGAGAAGTCACAGCCTGGGAGAAGCTAATTATAACACATACAAACCACAAAGTATTAGTAAGCAATACAAAGAGAACTCCTTTGAATCCATGTGAAAAAGACAAACTACCGACTGGAAAAATAGGCAAAGGAAAAATGAGCAAGAGACTGTGGGGATTTTATTGAAGAAGAAAATTAAATCGCCAATAAATACATGAACAATACTCATCTTCACTAGGATTCAGGGAGAGGAAATGCAAGCTAAACCCACAGCGAGATATTATTTCACACCGCTCAGGTTGCAGACTGACAAAAATTCATGCCTGAAGACACTACGCATGGACATAAAACAAGACAAGAACTCCCATAGATTGCGTCTGGGAATGTAAGTTGAGCAAATCCTTTCAGAGAAACACTTAATACATCTGGAGATGTGTTTATCCTACAATCCAGAAAACCCACTTCTAGGTTTATACTACAGACTACACCTTTACACCTTTGCATGTATAAAGATGACAGACATGTGCAAGAATAGAATATATTACACTGCTTTGTACTGCTAACAGCTAATAACTTGAAACAGCATAAATATCAACAAATAGAAAAACAAAATAAAATTACAGCATATTTATACAAAGGAATACTCCATAACTGAAGAAATGAATGAAATAGAGTGATATAGACTAATTTGGATGATTCTTAAAAGCATAGTATATTGACAGTGACAAGTAATTTGAAGAACATGAAGAGAATGTTATCATTTTTATGAAGTTTAAATACATGTAAAGCAAAACCACACACTATTTAGGGATTCATGCATAATTAAAAAAATATGAAAACATACAGGAAAATGTGCTCTGCTTAGTTTCTCAGTCATGTCTGACTCTTTGCAACCCCATGGACTGTAGCCCAGCAGGCTCTTAAGTCCATGGGGATTCTCCAGATAAGAATACTGGAGTGGGTTGCCATGCTCTCCTCCAGGGGATCTCCTCGACCTAAGGATTGAACCCAGCTTTCCCACATTACAGGTGGGTTCTTT